AATGCCAAATCACGTGAATCACGTGAATAAATGCTAAATCACGTGAATATCACGTGATAATCGACGTTTGAAATTTCAGACTAATGCGGTTTATAGGTGACAGCCACCATAGTAATATATTATTTAATATTTATCAAATTCTTATCAATATATTATTAAATTCGTCTTTTGATATATTAAATATTTCTAAAATTTTAATACTGCTAATATATTATTGAGTTAGTTTTAAGATGTGAGGATTATTATTTAAAATGACAATATTATTATTTTAAACAATTTCTTCAAGAAAATTTGTATTTGGTTAAGTTTTTCTTATAATTCCATTGTAATAGCAGCATAAAAAGAAATAGCAAAAAGTATAAAAAATAACATAAAAAATAGCGAAAAAATCTCGTAAAAAAATAGTGTAAAAAACAGCATAACGTTATATATATATATATCTAATATTGTTTTTGTTTACATCTTTTAAAAATAATCACATAAACTTTAAAAATTTACCCACAATAACTCACGTGATAACCCATGCAATAAAAAATTTATTCTTGTATTACAGTTATTAATAGAGTTATCTTAATAGAAAACGATCAAAATTTTGATCAGATTAAGATCAACATTAATTAGAGTTAAACAATAGAAAACAATAAAAATATTAGGGAAATATTAGGTTAAATTAAGGATAAAATGGGATTTTAATCAGTAATTTTTCAATCATTAATAATTTATATTTTTAAACTAAAATTGAAAAATATGCGTCATATTATCAAAAAATCTAAAAAAAATCAAAATTTGTTTCTTTCAAAAGTTTTCATCACATTACATTATCAAAAAATCAAAATTTATTTTTAAAATAATCAAGACTTGTTTCTTCTTAAAGTAAATTTGATCATGTAAAAGTTTTCATCATAAATTTATGTATCATATTATTAAAAAATCTAAAAAAAATCAAGATTTGTTTCTTTCAAAAGTTCTTATTACATTGTATTATCAAGAAATCAAAATTTATTTTTAAAATAATTAAGACTTATTTCTTTTCAAAGTAAATTTGATCATGCAAAAGTTTTCAATGTAAATATATGCATCACATTATTAAAAATCAAAATTTATTTTTAAAAAAATCAAAAACTTATTCTTCTTATAGAAATTTATCAGTTAAGTGATTCCTTTCTATAGTATACATTTGATCATATTGATATAAATTATTCTAATTTCATGTAAGTATTTTTTCAGCCTTTAGATTTTCTTAATAAAAGATTTAAACACATTTTTTTTATTTCTTAAAATTTTATTTAAAAAAAAGAAATAAATTTCAAAAATTTCTTTTTTTCTTTTTTTTAAATTTCAAAAATTTCAAAAATGTCTAACAAAAACTTTAAAGACCAAAATGAAATACAGTCATCTCCCTTTATAGTCACCTCCTATATAGTCACTCCTCTCCTTTAGTCACACCAAGGTTCAGTCCTGATTTTTTAAATAATAAAATACCCCCTTTTTAGTCACTATATCATTATAAGCATAATCACACTAATTGTCAGTCCCAGTATCATAGTAAATATAAGAAAAATACCCTTCAGGATTTAAATGTACCTATATCGAATTTTCAAATCATCTGATGTAGAGTCAATGTAAATCCTGTGGTTCAGAATTGTTAATGAAGATTCTGGTAAATAATGGATACATCTGGCGACCAAGAATGGTATATCTATTACCATCTTTAAAGAATCAAATATCATCGATGTATCAAAGACCAGGATTTGAATCACTTTTGAATAAATAGGCAAGTCAGAATACTGAAACTAGCTTTATGATCGATATCTACAATGGCGAAATCTGAAAGACTTTCCCATTGCATCTCGATAATCCAGATAATTCAGAACATTCTCGATTTTTTACATCTGAAACAGCCGATTCGCACTTAGGTATTATAGTAAACTTAGATTAGTTTCAACCCTTTGATTCGGCTTCTTATAGTTGTGGTGCAATATATGGCGTGATTTGTAATCTTCTACAGGACGTTCGATTCAAAAAAGAGAATATGTTGATTCTTGGCCTCTTACCGGGACTAAATGAAGTAAAATTGCATAAGATCAATCATTTTCTTGCACCAATAGTTGACGAATTACTGGAGTTTTAGAATAGAGTTTACTTACTGATTACAAGTAATTACTCTACTGGTAGGAATATCAGAATAGCTGTAATTTGTTGTAGCAACAATATTCCAGCTTCAAGGAAGTTATGTGACCATGCATCAGCATTGATAGGATGTCATCAGTGTCACAAAAGAGCAAGCAGCGAAAATAGACAAAAACTAAATTTCAAAGGGTTCAATGACATGTCTGATTGGTTTAAGGCCAAAGACCCGATAGAGCATCATCGTAATGCTCTTATTTGAAAGAAACAACAGACAAATGATGATAGAAAACAACATGTAAGTAGGACTCATGTGAGGTGGTCAGAATTACTTCGCTTGCCCTATCACAACCCAATTAGACATCTAGTCGTAGATTCAATGCATTGTTTGTTCTTGGGAATTGTTCAATGGATTGTGAAGTGATTATGAATCGAAGATGGAAAAATTTCCAAATCTGACCTTGAATTGATGGAGAAGCGAGCGAAAAATGTTAAAGTACCAGCTGATCTTGGAAGAATCCCATTCAAAATCGTAACTGGTGAAGGATTTTCCAGTTTTACAGCTGACCAATAGAAATCTTTTATCATGATCTATGCGACTCCATTGATGTGGGATCTTTTGGATGAAGAAGATCGAAAAATTTTGTCCAATTTTGTAAGAGCTTGCTTCTTATTAGTAGCACGCATTATTAATAATAATATATTGGATGAAGTCCAGTTCTGATTATTACAAGTTGCTAAACTAATTGAAGAGAATTATGGATCGGAAGTAATTACTCCTAACATTAACTTATCCCTTCATATCGTCGAATGTTGTCGAGACTACAGACCATTATATTCCTTCTGGTGTTACTCATTCGAAAGAATGAACAGTGTCTTGGGTAAGTCATATGCCAATTGTTGTTAAACCTGGTTTGAGTATATTTAGAATAGTTTTGTTTAAAAAAAAATATTATTGATAGAATCTTTCCTAAACAGTCATCGCAAAATTGAGCCAGAATTATTAAGGATCATTATGCAGCATTGGCGACTTGAGGACCTTCTATCTGCTCAATCGGATAATATAAAACTCGTTGAAAGCTTGAAATTAATACAACCCTGGACAACTTCGGGAAGCTTAGCAGTTTATGATAAATTTGAGTATGCTGAGCTTTGTCGATTTAGGCAAATTTTCCATCTTGAAATCGAAGACATAATTACCAGTTCCGAAGCTTTCCCTGGTGAAATGCTGGCCTCCAAAAAAGTTAACGTTAGTTTACCAGACGAAATATACAAAATTCTGGTAGATTATTATAATGTCGCATATGATTTTGATTTTTTAACTATTTCAGAATTGGTTCAAAGAAATGCAGTACGTTTCGGCTACAGAATAGTTGTCTGACCTCAAGTCAATCAATTTGGACGTGTTAGAATTGGAGCCAAAATCTTTGGATCGTCAAATACGCATCGATATTTAAAGAATTCATTTATCCTCGCCAAATTTGTGTAAGAAAATGATTCAGTTGAGATATTTCCTGATCAGGTTCAATATTTTCTTGAACATGAAATTAAACTACCAGGAGGGAAGCAAATACATCGATTGGCTTATATAAAATGGTTTATGTCGGCAGTAGGGCAATTTTGAGAGTTCTAGGGTCAAATTCGAAAAAAGATATCCAGAAAGATTCCAATCATAGGCCAGAAACCCTTCTAGCTATATGAATCCATAATATAGAATTCAGGTCTAAAATTTGCACCAGCGCTCAATTTCATTATCAATCT